CCTGAACTACAAACCCTCAACCCTCAGCCCTCACCCTAAACCCTAAACCCTGAACTACAAACCCTCAGCCCTCAACCCTCACCCTAAACCCTTTTTGAGCACGGACTCTCACCCTAAACGCTAAACCCTGAACTACAAACCCTCAACCCTCCGTCCCATGGCCTGGGCAAGTCCGAAGCATGTCCACGTCCGCGGCAGCTGTGGGTCCCTCCCAAGGAGCGGAGTCCTCGGTAAAGGGTTTAGGGTTTAGGGTTTAGGGTTTAGGGCTGCGGGCTTAGATCGTGTGGGTTATAGGGTTATAGGGTTTTGTAGGGGTTGGGGTCGTTAGAGTCACAGGGTTTAGGGTTTTGTAGGGGTTTAGATCGTGTGGGTCATAGGGTTATAGGGTTTTGTAGGGGTTGGGATTTAGGAGTTTATAGGGTTTGAGGTTTAGGATTGTGGGTTTAGGGTTTAGGGTTCAGAGTTTGAGGTCTGGAGTTAAGGGAGAATCCTTTAAAGGGCTTAACAAGATTCTAGATGGGGCAGCATACTGGGTTGTACGAGGCATTGCTATGCAGCATAACTGCTGCACACGAACTATGAAGGCTTGGCATTGATGATTGTTTGAGTGAAAGGGGGGGGCCTTTCGTGCTTAAGGTTTAGGGTTTAGGGGTTTAGGGTTTAGGGTTTAGGAAGTTTCAGCTCCTTCCCGTCTTGAACTTGTTGTGTTCAGGACTCTGTAATTGAACTCTTGTCAGTAAGAGGCTATCCGAAACCCTCAACGATTCTCGAAGCTTCCCCAAAATCGGTTGGACCTGTCTTCCTCTATGCTATTCGTCGCTATTCATGCCTACCAATATCTCTTGCCCCAAAATCCACACATCAAACATCAGCATACTAAGAGGGCTTGTATGCTCATAGGGCTCTTGGCTGATTGTATGCAAGCTGGTCCTCCAAGCAACCATGAACCCCAAAACCCCGGAGCCTCCGAACACTAGAATCCAGAACCCCCAAATGGGTACTTCTCTACATGAAGGTCCCCTTTTCGGTGCCTTTTGAAAGGGTGCCGTACTCTATTGGGGACCTAAACAGGGACCGTCATTTAGAGAACTACCCAAATCCACAAACGCAAGACTCAGGAACCTTAATCCTGCAACAGTTGCCGCAAGCTGAACAGTTAGGGTTTAGGGTTTAGGGTTTAGGGGTTCGGGTTTAGGGTTTAGGGTTTAGGGGTTAGGGTTCATGGTTTAGGGGTTAGTTAATGTTGGTTCCTGCTTATGCAAGAGCCGTCAGGAGATTGCCATCTGCCTATAGCCTCAATCCTTCTATCCCCAAAGAGTAAGCGTATCCTCCTGAGGTTCAGGGCTACACCACCTGTCGCGAACTCGAAAACCTGGACATTAAACCCTCAATGCGAACCCGTACAGCCCAAAGTCTATGGCCAGGGGTCCAGGGCCATGAATTCAACAACCGATTCCTTACACCTGAACCGGCTTAGGGTTTTGCCCAGAACCCAGGCCCCGCAATTCTAGGGTTCAGGGTTTAGGGTCTTAGGGTTCAGGGCTTTAGGGTCTTGGGGTTTAGGGTTTAGGGCTTAGGGCTTCGGGTGTCGGGCGATGCATCCTAAAGCTTCGGGCAAGCCTCTGGTGTTTTGCTCGTCCCTTCGGCTTCCCATCTTTGTAGCATCGCAAGAAGCAACTCTTCCTGTGCAAGCTGCAGGGTTCAGGGTTGACGGTTCGAATTGTTAGGTTCGGGCTTGGGCTTTGGGGTTTAGGGCTTCAGGCTTGAGGGTCTAGGGTTTAGGGTTGAAGACTCTACGGTTGGCGGCGGGGGGGATGATTGGCAATGATTGGTCTATAGGGTTGAGGGTTGTAGTGGTGCGGATTTAGGGTGCAAGGCTTTCGATAAATTTGCAATGGCTTCAGGCTCTCACCTCAACGTGCTCGCTCGATAGTCTCGCATGGCAGGGCCAGGGTTTGGGGTTTAGGGGTCTGATGGTTGAGGGTTTGGGGTTTAGGGTTTAGGGTTCCGTCTAAGGGTTTTTAAGAGCAGGGGTCTCGGGGTTAGGTGTTGAGGGCCGAGGGGCTTGGTATTTCAGCACACACAGCTGGGACAAGCAAGGCGAGGTTACGGGTACGAGGAAAAGCAAATTTAGGCTTTATAGGGTTTCGGGTGTCAGCGGCAATTTAGTTACAGCCGGTACTGATTCTTAGACTATTGCAGAATGGGCTCGCAAAATTACGCAAGTGCATGTGCAGAGTCCTGCATTGCACTTCTGTCGGTGCATTGCTTTCAGGTTCACCAATCCAAACCGATGACCCTGGCTTGCGCGGGTTTCCTCTCCAGACTCGACATATTGCGCGGGTTTCCTCTCCAGACTCGACAAATTCAGGGGAGTTCGTTGAACACAGGTTCCACACACATATTGATAGTACGGGTCTAGGACATGTTCACGTGGGTCGTTACCGTTGTAGGAGCCTTATAGAAGGTCTATATACCTTATACGGAAGCCTTATAGAAGCCCTATATACTCTAAACTCCCCACCTGTAGTTTCCTTGAAACGGGTTGTTGATGTTTTTGGTTGCACATCATGGGAAAACCACTACCCTTCCTTCGAGCTTCTCTGAGCATGCCAGGCAGTACTTACTGTAATCTTCAAGATTGGGGAAACACCCTACACAGAGAGCTGCCAAACAAGTCCCGCCCCCTCCCCTACACTCGCAAAGCCCTGTCCTTCAGAAGAGGAGTGATGGGCGGCTGGGGTTTATGGCTTATGCGTTTTAAGGGTTCATGTTTTGTGGATGCAAATCTGCCTTCTGGATCTCTGAAGGCATACAACCAATGGCGGCAGCCTGGGCAAGCACCCAGACGACACCGTCGGCTCTGGCTTTCTCTGCCCTTGCAAAGGCCAAGGATTGAGGCAAAGCGGAGATCAGTCTGTCAAAGAATGTTTCAGTAAGTTGAAGAATATGTTGAAGAGCTACGCTGGATTGGTAGAACCTGTTGACCTAAACCCTCTGAGGGTTAATCATCCTACACCCCAAAACTAGGCCCCAGAAATATAAACCCCCTACACCCTGAACACCCTAATCCGAAACCCCTAAATCCCCAGTCCCCTAGACTCCGCCAGGCCCTAAGCCCGAAACTCTAAACCCCCTAGACTCAGACCAGAACCCTACACCCCTAAACTTTGCTGCTGAGTACCCTAGCCCAAAAAAGGTTAACCTTTTGAATTCTAGTAGAATTATAAAAGCCCCAAAAGGTTAAAGGTTACCTACTCAGCCCCTAAAAAAATCTGCGGCATGGCAGCCGCCAGCAGCGAGTCGGCACGGCGCTCACTGAGGAGAGCTCCCAGGGCGGCAGTCCATGAGGTCCCCGCCTGGTTTTTGCAGGTTCTTAATTTTGCAAAATAGGGGACTTAATATTTAGAATGGGGTGTTGGGGTACATTATAGCCAAATTATAGCGTAGTTGTAAAACGGAGCAGTATAGGAATAA